TAGGATATAATTCAAAACTCCAGATTCTAATAAATTCCTTCCAACTTTAAATCCTAACCTTCTCCTCTCCTACAATGAATTCCCAGTTCATGTTAATTATATTCCACCAATCCCACATCTGCCTTGAAATAATAATTCTCTGAGCATACTTTTAATACTTAGGATTCAGGCTGTGAGGACTTATTAAATGTCTGCTGAAGTTAAAGGTGAAATGAGACAAGCAATATTTACAAAGACAGTCTATGGAACTATACATTTTCTAAAATTATATGCAAAATTTGCAGTGTATATTCTAAGAGAAGGTGTCTCATATTTTTCATCAGATTCTTAAAAGAGTAAGTACCACTGAATGTGAAAAACCACTAATTTAGAGAGAAAAGGAATATTTATGTATACTGACTTTGAAAGGGAAACACAAACTAGTCTTCAATTACCTGATGGCTGGTTCCTTAGTTCTTTCCTATTCTCAAGCCTAGGGGTTAAAGGGAGATTAAAGGTCTGTATTCTCACATCTTCACAGCGTCGCATGGTTACCATGGCACAGATCCTTGATAATGGCAAGGTTCCTTTGGCGACCATCTGGTCTCTCACATTAGGATAATAGTATCTGTAAGCCACAAAAACACCGCTGTCAGTTGGAAGAATTAGGTGGATGAATGATTCAGTCTGCCCCAGGGATCGACTTTCAGTATCTAGTTATTTTTGGAGCTTGATTTGTATTTGTGGTATAGAGCTGTGGTTGTGTCTGGCTGGATTTACTGCCTATTATGTGCAGAAAGAACCCAATAAATTATACCCTGAGTTCAGGACAAAGCTTGGGTTCCCAAAGGCTTTCTGTTTGAGGTATTTGTATCTGGCCTGAACCTCTGAGGGGAGTCATTCCTGAAAGCATCCATTCTGCAGTAGCTAAAGTGGCTCTAAGTGGAGCAGTCCCAATCTCTTCTATGGCTTAAAGCCCAAGCCCCTCAAATTTGGAGATACAATGAGGATTTGTTAGCACCTACACTAGTACCTTCTCATCAAAACATCCCATTCTTAGACCACGAAGTTAGCAAACCTAATTTCCGTCTGATTCTATTTAGAAAAAATTCTGGCAAGTGGATGGTATTTTTCCTTGGTTCTGTTCCTGATGCTGTTTCCCTTTAGATTTATACTCTTAGTCATTTTAGTTGGTTTCTTAGGGGTGGGGATACAAAAGGCTGAACACCTTTTTCATGCCATTATCTTTCCTGAGAATCTGTCAAAGTCTGTGACATGAGTTAAAGGAAAGATGCTCTATGATCGTGTATTTCCTTCCTAGGCACAGGATTGGGTTCTCCATAATGTACCTGCACCAGATTTCAAAGTGGACTCCACCTCCAGGCACAAGCGCCTGTGCAGAGAAGGCACTGAGTAGGAGTCTTTGCACTGGAACTTCAGCTGGCAACAGGAGAGAGTGATGGTGCTCACTATTAAAGATGGGATCTGGAACACACAGTGTGGTTGCAGATCTGAAAGGCTTCAGAGTGATCCCTTTGGAAAAGAAAAACAATTCAGAATAATCTAACATATCATTCAATGTTGTATATGTAGTAAGACGATATGTTAATATCCAGTATTATTTAATTTTATCCTCAACAATATTCCTATAAAGAAGAAAAAGCAGCTATTATTACTCTTACTTCACAGATGAGGATATGGACATCTTGAGGTTATATGGTTAACTCAAAGGTCTTAGAGTTGGTAGCTCACAGACCTGGAGCCAGAATCTGTATCTTCAGATTGTGTTATTCCTACCAGGTCCATTCCCCTACTAGCTATGGTACCTAAGGTCTTATGGTAATACAGAAGGGATCCCTTTGTTGGTGAATGATGAATGAGGGTTCCAATTTCTCCACATCTGCCAACACTTGTTAGCCTGTTTATTTTTAATAATTATTATTTTTTTAATTATAGCCATCTTAAAGGATATAAAGTGGTATCCTGTGGTGGTTTTGATTTTCATTTCCCTAATGACTCATAATGTTGAGTATTTTCTCATGTGCTTATTGACCATTTATGTATCTTTGGAGAAATGTCTTTTCAGATCCTCTGCCCATTTTTATTGGGATTGTCTTCTGATTATTGATTTGTAAGAGTACTTTGTATATTCTGAGTACATGGTCTGTTATTTGAATCTGAAAACCAATACCAGCAGCACTTCTGCAGTTATTTGCTGATATGCTCAGAATGGCAAAAAATTTGAGTCACCTGACTTGCTCATTCCAAGCTGAGGTTGAACAAGGCAACACTCTATCTTCTTGTTTTAGCTCTCAGAAATGACTAGAAGATAGAGATGGTATGGGACAGTGTAGTGCAAAAAGCTCCGGCTCTGGATGGGGTATGAATGCCAAACTTGGCACTTGTTAGTGGGGTGGCCTCAGTCACTTCACACTTCTGAACCTTGTTTTCTCTTTGGTAAATTAAAAAAAAAAAAAAAAAATAGAATGACCAGGATTTAAGATTATGATCTATGTAAGATATGTATATATACAGATTTTCCCCAGAACCAATGGTTCAGTATTCTCTAATTTAGTGTTCTTGAAGACTTTATAGAAAAATGAGAAGCAACTGTATGTTTATAGATGTTAAGTGAGTAGACATGTAAATGATATAAGATGGGACAAGATGTAAATAATTGATGGATATAGGTAAAGGGTATACAGAAGTTCTCTGTACTATTTTTACAACTTTTCCATAAATTTGAAGTCAAATCAAAATAAAGTTACAAAAAAATTTTTTTTAAAAGTAAACACTCAGTCTATCTCCTGTATTGCCCGGGCAAGACTAGTAACATTGAGGAATACAAAATTCACTCAGGAAAAAACTTCTAAGTAGATTCAATAAAAGAATCACACAAGAATGAGAAGATCTAATCTCCCAAACCTACCATTTTCAAGGAACTCAGGTCCTTTTAGCACACTGGATTGTGAGTCTTGAACTGGAAAGTAGTACTGGACATAACAATCTGCTTCTCCCCATACTGTTGCCTGAAGAGGGGTTAGTCCTTTAACCTTGTCTATATGGAGCTCAAAGTGGTGCTCCATTAATCCATTTCTTTGGTCTTCTGCCTATTAAATGAAACAGAAACTGGTGAGCTTTAAAAAGCAACTTGCTTAGAATATTCCTGCTTCTCTATGAAGTCTGAGAATAGATGAAGAAATAAGCATAATTAATTAGCTGATACTAAAAACAGGTACTTAATTTTCATCATATGTAAGTCTCACAGCTGCTTAAGGTAATCAGATCATGCTGGATTTATTCTAGACTGTGAGACTGGTTCAATAATATGAAATCCATAAATGTAATCTAGTACATTAAAGAAAAAAGGAAAAAAATGACTATCTCAATAAAAGCTAAAAAGCCATTTGATAAAATTCAACATGTTACTAATTCTCAGTACACTAAGAATAGAAGGTTATTTCCTTGATACATATTTGAAGCAAACAGGCATTAATTTATTTAATTACTACTTTTTTATTATATAGTACTCTATTTTTATAACCATTACAACAAAATATTTTTGTTACTTAATTATTATTTTTAATGAAGTTAAGAATAACACCAAAACTATTCATTAATGGTAAGGAATACTTGGGGAGGTAGTGAATACACTGTTAGTGAAGGTACTTCTACTAATAACAATTAATAATATAGTTATTATTTACTATGAGCCAGGGACTGTACTAAGCTCTTTACTTATATTAGCTAATTTAACTCACATAGCTAATAACAGTGGAATCAGGGTTTGAACTCAGGTAGTCTGACTCCAGAGCCAAAGTTCTTTACCTCTACTCTATACAGCCTTGGTAGATATTAGATAATTAATTATTGGGAATATTCAAAGGGGGAATTCTGGATTCAGGTAAGGGTCAGACTGTATGATTTATACATACTTAACATTTGAATTACTAATCCAGTAAAATTGGAATAGAGATTGCATTAGGTCTTTGCTTTGAAATCTAAAACCATATGTAAGTGACGTCTGCTTAAAAACCTTCCTTACGGAAACAGAAAACTTATAATTTGATTCCCCAGAGAAGAAAACTGTAGGAACAATAACCTCTCCAAATTACAGCAGCTGCCTAATTTGGCCATACGGTATTACAGTTATTTAATAATTCAGTTCTGCAGATGCTGAACTGGATGAAGGAGGAAAACAATTGTATTTGTTGATATCTAATCTTTCGAGGACTTCTTCTATACCTATAGTAACAGTTTTTTTTAGTATGGAATCTAACAAAATCTCAGTCTACACTGCAATGTGAGGGTCATATAATACATAAGATTTGGGACTATTATAAATGATTTTCTTTTGTGTTTTTATGTCATTTTTAAATAAAAATAAAACACTTATCTATTGATAGACCCTAATGTATTAAAGAAAAAGAAAAGAGTTTAAAACAAACAAGAACCTACTAATAGATATTTTCCTAATAGTTCTTTCTTTGCTAGAGACATTAAATTTGTCATTCAGATTCAGACTGAAACAAGTAACATACTTAAATGGTGTGGAGACAGATTTGGCTATACTAGGTATCAAGAGAGTCCAAACGTAAGATATAAGGGGACATGATATAGTGGATCTGGAGTCAGAAGACCTATGTCTGAACCCCAATTCTCTCATTCTTAGCTATAAGACCTGGGACAAGTAACACAACCTCTTTGATTCTGTTTCATCACCTATAAAAGAGAATGACAATGACCCACCTCCTGCAGCTGTTAGGAAAATAATATGATAAAGTACGTCAAGCTGCTTTCTCAGCTGTACAGCATTATACAAAACAAATTACTTTTAGGTTATTAGAAAAGCAAGGAACTTCACTATAACTTTCCAAAATGAATTTGGTTAAGAAACAGAATAAGATTTTGCTGGCTTATATTTGGGATCACTCTCCATCCCCCACCCCAAAAATTTTCCTTCGGATTATCTTTTTTTTCTAAAATAAGATTATTATTATTATTATTTTAAATAAGATTTTTTTTTTTTTTTTACAGCAGTTTAAGATTCACTCCAATATTTTTTCAGGGTGATTAACTTAGTAAATTGGAGGGTTAAGATCTGGTTGTTCAATTAGGTTTTCCTTATATATTAAAGGAGCTCAGAGGGTCACAGATATCCATTTAAACCATAAAGAGAAACACCAATGATTCATTTGATCTGTAGCAAGCACTGGAGTGTACTTATGTTCTTTTGTTAAGTCTTTCACTACTGAATTAAGAACTGGGGCAATGGTTTCACCAAAACATGCAAGACAAGATATGATATATGAAATTTGCTAAGAGAGTAATCTAAGTGTTCTCACCACACACAGAAAAAAAGGTAACTAGGTAAAGTGATGGATATGCTAATTAGCTTGACTGTGATAATCACACTGTACACCTTAAAATGAGATTATGGTTTTTATAAATAATTGTTTAGTTACTACCATGGCAATGGATGCTACAGATGGTGGGTCCAGAAAATGGGGTGGCCTAGGGCTGAAGGGAGGAAGTGTTCCTTCTTCATTCTTTAATCTTTGTAGTGCCATTATCTGATCTGAAGAACCCATAGCTAAAAAGACTCGAAGACTCCCATTCTGCTGGCCTGAGAACACATCAATCACAGGCATGTAGCTGTCGACAGCAACAACTGGGTACTGAGCATCAAGCAGCAGGCGAGAAATCTTGGGATCTCTAAAGGGAGAGAAATTGTTCATGAGCAAGTAACAATCATCAATCATGTCACAGAGTTGCTTCATTTCTTACTTGGCTCATTTTCTCAATTTGTTAAAAATGGATCTACAACTAGAAAAGTAATGGTGGTTTGAAAAAACATGATTTTATCTACAAATCCATCAAATAAAAATTACCAGGCAGGTAAGTTCCGAACGTAGCAATCTGAGTTCAGGGAATGTGATTTATCTGTGTCATCATGACCCAACTCCAGTGTCTAGGACGGAGCACTATTCTCAGTAGAGGTCAGCTGAATTGCATTATTTTATAGGTATACAACTGTGGTCAACCAAAAAAAATATGGACTTTGGAGTCTGGCAGATAAGATTTAGATAATATTACCAATTATACCATCTACTGGGTGCTTACTATGTGGTAGGTGCTTTACAGAATTTCTATAATCCTTCTAACACTCCTAAGGTTGATATTATCCACTACTAACAGGTTAGAAAAAGTCCAGTGCTCTTCATTATACCACACTGAATCTTAGTTTTGCCTCTTACTTGCTATGACACTAAGTAATCAATTTAACCTTTCCACATCTGTTTCCTCATCTTTAAAATGTAGGTAATAAAACTTCCATCAAAGGGCTGTTGCTAGGACTAAATGGGATAACAAATATAAAATACCAACTACGATGCTTAGTATATGGTAAGTGCTCAGTAATTGGTAGCTACTATTGTTTTATGCTCTCTCAGTAAAGGGGTCAAATGAAATGAGAAGGGAAGGGGAATGCCAGATCAGGCAAATATCACAACTAAAAAAAAAGAGGAAAAAGCCCAAAGCCTAAAGCTGGCAGTGGCACCCAGGATTCCAGCAGTACTCAGCCTGACCATGCTTTCCAATGTTACCATCAATAAGTATTTAACTGTTCACAGAAACCTTACTCATTTATTTTCTCACTAGATTCTCACACTTGCTCCAAGAGGGAGACATGGGATCTAGCTTCACCCTCATTTTACAGAAGATGAAAAGAGCCAGAGAGGTTGACTTCTCCAAATTAAAAGACAAGTTTCCTCATTTGCAAAACGGGAATAATGATAATTCTTCCTGGGGTTACAGAAGGGCTCACAGTGAGATAGTGTCCACGAAAGTACTCTTTGTAAAATATAAAACACAGCATTTACAACACATGAGAAGGCTGCTGGAAAGAGGTCAGTGCTAAAATAATTAAAAATCAGCACCTTGAATCAAAACAAAAAATGAACAGTCTGTACTGACAGAAATCGTCTTCAGATAAACCAATACCCCATGCTGGGTAGTGATACATAAGGTACGGTAATCAAATCTGAAGGTTTAAAACACAATACGCAGTATAGAAATCTTGCAAATGGCTGATGTGAACAATACTAGTTTTGTGACAGTGATAAACCATTAGTTTTGTGAGGTAGTAACCTTTGACGGCAGAGCTTCTTAGTGAGGAGAGTGAACTCTAGAGTCAGGCTCTCTGGGTTCTAACCTGGTCCTACTATTTATGATATATATGACATGTTATTTAACTTCTCTGTGCCTCTGTTAAGTCATCTGTAAAATAAGGAAAATAAAAGTTACCTGCCTCAGAGGATTGCTGTGAGGATTAAATGACTTGATGGGGTAAGATTCTTAGCATAGGGCCTGAAACATGGTAAGCAGTATTTCTAAGACTGCTTTAACACAAGGGAAAGAACAGAAACTATCCTGAAATTGAAAAAAATCCTCCAAGGAATTATTGGGCTAGTCATGTTTGAAAATCATAAGAATTCTTCTTCAGTCCATATAAAGTTAAAGATGTAAAATAAAGAATACTCCAAAAGATCCTATTTACTTGAATGACATGTAAAACTGATGGAGGGGGAGTTTCACCAGCCCGAGCAGCTTGTCCTGTCCTGGGCTCCGCACCTTGTTCCAAGTTTCGATTACCATTACATTGTTCTTAAGCCTTTCCAAGTATTTGGGAGATAGAGAGACAGGAATCACCTGGGGAGAGGAACGAACAAAAAACAAAAAACAAAAGCCCACATCTGAGACAAATGACTAATTTATACTTTCATTCAACACACAATTACTGAAAGCCTACTGTGTGTCATGCACAGTGCTAGGAGCTAAAGACATTAAAACAAAACCCAATCTGCATCCTCAGTCTGAAGCCACAGTCTGGTGTGACAGACCAACATATATAAAGGAGAAATATGAAATGGTATGAGCTCTCTGATGACAAAGCTCATATAGATGGGACTTTGGGGACACACAGAGTTATCAGACATGTCAATCATGGCACCTACCAAGCTCATTCAACCTTTTCTAAGGCAAAATGACCCAGGTGTAAACTCCTGTTTGAAAGGCTGATGTTTTTGAAACAAAGATGGCTACTGACTAGAAAAGGGTTGAGCACCCAGTCAAAGGGCAGCCAATCCACTGGTTGAGTGGCACAGTCCAGTGCAAAAAGCTCTGTCCAACAGGTGTTATGGTAAATAGCAAGGCCAGCTGTTCATCTGGATTTTCAGTATAAAATTACTCTACAATTGGCCAGCCAGCCAGTAGTTGAAAGAGAAAAGAGAAGTCACAAAGAGAACTAGAGATCTAGAGTCAAGAGCAGGTCAAATTAATGACAGAATCAAGGGCCCACCAATTTGAAGGAATCCAATCTGTAGTACAGCATCGACAGCAGAGGAAAGAGAAGCCCCAATTATGAAATCAATAGAAAACATTAGAAGCAAAAGGGTAAAACCAGAAATGATATAAGACACGAGAGGAAGATTCCAGGAGAGCAGAGCCACTTTGTATCTAAGAAACTCCAAGTAGTTAAGGTACCCCAAGAACATTTCTGTTCCCTGAAACCAAAAAAAAAGTAGAACACATCAACCTAACCTACAAATAGGGAGATTTCAGAGGGAACTGCTGGGAGAAAGTAACTCTAAATCATATGGATAAGCAGGAATTAACTAGTACAAAAAGTTTTGACTAATAGGAGTCATGAAAGCTGAGGGGAAACTCCAGGCTGAAGGAAGAACATGTGCAAAGACATAAGAGGTAGGACAAGTGAATATTTAGGAAATTGCAAGTAGCTGAGCATAATTAGACTGACTAGTGTGAGGGAAGAGTGGCAAGAGTCAAGACTACAGAGGTACAGACAGTTCTTAAAGGGTCTTGTAGTCCAAATTAAGGATTTGGACTCTATCCTGAGGCTATGGGGAATCATTGAGAGTTTTACAGCTGGGGGCGGGGGAGTGGGAATATTCAGAGTTAGAGTTTTAGGAAGATCATTCCTATTGGTGCATAGAGAAAGGGTCAGGGAGTGACCAGAAACAGGCCTGTCTGAAAACTTTTTGGAATGAGAACGAGAGCCTGAATGAAAGCAATGGCAATGAGGATTTATTCCAGAGATAATTAAGTTTGCACATTTATTGGACTTGGTGAATAAATATGCAAGAAAGAGTCAAGGACAACTTTTAGGTTCTGCTTGGGTTTCTTAGTAAATTATAAAATGAATTAGGGCAGATATGAGGAGAAGCAGATTTGGAAAGAATAATAAATTCAGATTTGGACACATCTGAATTTCATCTTTCATTTATATATCTTTATTGAATATCTGCAATATGCCATGTGATGTGTTAGGTGTAAAGTGTTTTTGAGATATCCTGGTGGGGATGACTAGCAAGCAGTTAGATACAGAGATGTGAAACTGGAAGGCAATGTCTGGCCTACAGAGAAGTGTGGATTTGTAAGTCATATAAATGAGAGCTGAAGCTATGGGAGCAGATGTGGTGACCACGGGGAAAAGGAGGTTTGGAAAAATTCCAAGGATAGAGCAATGACTAGGAGCACCAATAATTAAAGGTAAGAGAAATGGAGACGTGCTGAGGTCACTCTTCTTTTCCTACTGGCCCAATGACCAAAAAGAACAGCTGTTGAGTCAGGAAGAAAATAAAAGAATAGAGTTGCAAAAATCAAGAAAAAAAAACAATTTAAGCAATAGCATCAAATTCTACTGAGCTGAGTGTTGAAATAAGTGGAGGAACAAATGAGAGTGAGAAAAAATAAATAAAAAAAGGAGAGAATGGAGAAAAAGAAAAGGAAGGTGGAAAAGTTTAATGGATTAAGGCCCTAGAGGAAGCAGCAAGGAACAGAATTCAGAATTCAGGCAAAAGACATAGTGAGAAACTGAGACAGAACAGAAAGAAATAAAGATATAAACAATTTAAAAATGCTGGCAATGTCTTTTCCGCTTTTCATCCAATAGTGGGATTGGCTCTGCACATCAGATAATGACAAGGGTCCCTGCCGGTCTGAACATTCTAGATTTCCTTAACAATGGCATTATGATTTTGGAAACATACTTGTCTCCCACCCCAAACGGGTATGACATGTTAAGACATGTACAAAGTTACCTGAGAAAAGTTAAAGACTGGTTGTGTTGTGCCCCATGCGATGACAGATCTGGTGACTTCCTCTGTGCTGAAGAGTTTGCAATTAAAATAAACATTGCATGGTAGTTGTTTTTCAGATTCTCCAGTAATGAAATCTTTCCCATCTGGCACCATCAACAGCACATGCAACAGTAAAGCACTCTCTTTTGTTGACCCATCTGTCCGATTTACTAAATTGTGAGACGCTGGCACAGCCATGAAGGCTGAAGAATATAGTGCAACAGGACTTGGTGACTTTGGGTTGGGGAACACCAAATTCTGTGCTTCCTTTGCAGTTTCTTCATGTACTTGATTTAGGTTCTGTGGATTTTTGGTACAGGTAACACGTTGGCTAGGTTCTGGTAGTTTCTTATCTGGACTTTTAACAGCACAAAGTGGGGTATGTTGGGTACTGCTATTTAACTTAGTCTTGACACCAGTGAAATCTTTGTTATCTATAACAAGCTCCATAGTTACCTACAGAACACAAAAGGAAGAGTTAGTAGGAATCTTCTCTAGAATCAGAATCAGAATTTTGCAGTGGATGCAGCATTAGATTGTTAGAAAATAAATTAACTCATACTCTAATACCATAACAGTAAGAACATTAATAGATTGCATATATATTACCTTACCAGTATTAAGAAAAGCTAGACAGATGATTCATTAATAATATAATATAATCTATAAATGAGATGAGCCTGGAACATAATCTTGTGCTGGAAAATAAGGACATGTTCAGAAAAGGATGGAGACACAGAATCCAGCTGAAATGGCTCTCATTGGCCAAATCTGGGACAACTTGAGCATCAAAATGAATAATAATAGTAATGGATTATAACCAATTGAATAATGTACCAATCCATGAGTATGTACCAATATAAACGAATATGGTAGAAGGGTCAACTCTTTCATATAGTAGGATGCCAATTAATAAATGTACAAAGAATGATGGAGTTAATGGTGGAGTTAGAAATCATCTTTTGATCATTATAGTAATAAGTGATTTAGGTAAACTCCAATGGAGGACATTTTACAAAATAAATGGCCTTACTTTCTCCAAAAATATCAAAGTATTGGAAGAGAAAGAAGGACCGTAGAACTGTTTCAGACTAAAGGAGATTAGAGAAATATGACAATTAAATGGAGAGGATGATCCTGGACTGGAAAAAAATGTTACAAAGAGAAAGATTGGCACAATTCGTGAAATTTGAGGATTGACCATACAGAGTATGCTGTTAAATTGGCTTTTATAACTGTACATTGTTATATATGTTAATGTCTTTGTCTTAGGAAATATACACCAGAATTTAGGGAGAAAGAGGCATAATGTCTGTAACAGTCTCGAACAGTTCAGAAAAAAATTGTGTAGGTGTGTATGGTCGGGGAGGGAGACAAAGAGGAAAGAGACAGAAAGAAGAGGTAGACACCCAATGATAAAGCAAATGTGACAAATGCAGATGTGACAGATGTTAATAATTGGTGAGTCTAGTGAAAGGGTATGTGAGTTCTTTGTACGATTTTTGCATTTTTTCTGTTTATTCTTAAAAGTTAAAAATGTTAAGCAAGAGTGAATGCAAGATAAATGATGAATAAAGTGGCCACTATTAGGAGACTGAATTAATAAAGGAAAGAAGGATGTGCTGTTTCTTTTATTTAAAACCCACAGCAAAGTTCTTTGCTCTACTGTATATAGACAACAATCTATCCAGAACAGTACTTCTCTCAAAGGAGCCAGGATAGAAACAATTTCTAGCCCATCAATTCTATTTATTACCCACTTCTGATTTTAAACCTTGTTGTCCAGAGTGAACTAGGCAAGCAAAAAATAGAACTTTCATAGCAGAAGAGTAATGTGAATTTTTTGCAATGATAATCTCACAAATCTTTAAAACTAAATGGTATTTATTACTAAGACCAGGAAGAGGGCAGACAGGGCTTCCAAGAAAAGGAAGTATCACAAAAATCAAGAACTAAAGCATAGAAGCATAGACCTGCACGGTACCTTAATGAGTCTTTACATAATTTGACATGGGTATTGGTAGGGCAGCTGCAGGAGAAAAGGATGCAGTGGTAGCCTGCCTGGAATCATTGGTATGCCCTGTATTTTATTCTTTGGTTGATAAGGAGCCATGCAAATGTTCTAGGTATGGGCTGTGATGATTTTAAAAGCTGACCAGGACAACAAGACAAACCTATACTGAAACCACATTCAAATTTGCCATCTAAGAAATTCTGATGCTTCTGAATTCAAGGAAAGAACCCTCTTTCCAATGAATTATACATCAGAATTCACTCCACCAGCCATAAATTCAGTCACTTCTCTCTTTATTCACTGCCACTACTCTAGTCCAAGTCATCAACTATCTCTTCTGGACTAACATAATAGCCTCTCTATTTTCCCTCTTGGACCATACAATCTATTTTCTACACAGTAATCTTTAAAAATGTAAATCAGATGTCATTCCCATGCTTTAATGTCCTTTCTTGGCTCTTAGGATAAAATCTAAACCCTTTACTTTGACCTACAAAGCTCTGAATGATATAGCTCCTACCTGCCTGTCCAGTCTTACTTTCTGCCACTCTCCCTTTTGGCTCATTATCCTGTGGCAACATTCTGACCCTTGACAACACCAAGTCCATTCATACTTTAGGGTCTTGCATGTGTTATTCTCCTTCTCTGGAACAATCTTCTTTGTGTTTTTCACTTGGCAGCCTCTTCCTCTCATTCTTCCAGTCTCACCTTAAATGTCACCTCCTTAGAGAGACCTCCTCTGACCACCATCTCCCTATTTCCTCCCAAGTACTCACTATCACATTATAACTTTTATTTCTTCACAGCACTTCTTTTGCCCTATTTAAATATAACCTGCAAGAGCAGAGACCCTGATTTTCTTGTTCACTGCTGTATTCTCAGGGCTAATCAGTAATACAAGTGCCATAAGTAACTGCCTGAATTATACCTACGTACCTTGAGGGGGCCAAGTGGAGTCTGACCATTTTCCTGTTGCACTGGAAGCTGGTCACTGAAAGAAAGTAGCTCAGACTGAATGACAGCTCTCAAAGGCAGTGATGCAGATCCAATGACTTCTGGCTGGGAGAAAAAAGAAAAGTTTGGGTCAAATTAAAGAGGACACATAGGGAACTTTAACTGAAGTGACAACATATGATATCTTATAAAGGAACCCATGAAGTAAATAGCTTAATTATTTGACTGAGGCAACTCTAAGAAGCCCATATTCTGCCATATTTTGGTCCCCTTTCTGATTTTCACTACTTCTCCCTAGAAGATTATAGAGGGTTTCATGAGTCGCAAAGAAGTTGGAAGATTATCTTTTTCTATTTTTAAGATTTTTTTTATGTAAAAGGTTCAACTTCACTCTTAAAAATACAAAATGAAATTAAGATACAAATTTTGCCATTAAAGCTAGGAAAATTACAAAACAATATACCTGATTCTATCAAGGTTATGGAGAAACAGGCTGTCATGTGCCTAAAGTTGGGAAATATAAACTGGTAACATACTTTTGGACAGCAAATTTGGCAATAAATATAAAAGCTTTGAATATTCATTTGTACTCTTTGACCCAGTAATTTCACTTCTGGGAATTCATACTAAAGAAATAATAAATATATCAAAAGCTTATAAATAAATAAGTATATTTTAAAATGTAACAATGAGAAATAATGAGATGTTCAATAATCAAATTATTAATTATAGCACATTCCTACAATGAAATAATATGTAGCTATTAAAATGATGTTTACAAAAAGTATGAATATAAGCAACATTTATTGTAATGTTTGGTAAAAATAGGGTATTAAATTATATATATAGTAAACCTTCAAATACTTATAAAATTATGTGTAAAAGATTAAATATGTATTTTCAAAAAAATGAATAAAAACCCTCAAGACAATGTTAAATAAAAAAGGATAAAAATTGCATACAAAATTATCCTAACATGTCAAAGACTTACATATATATTATATTGATTTGAAAAAGATAGAGGAGACATACAAATAGTAACAATAGCTATTTCTTGGTGAGAGGATTATATATAGGTGATTTTTGCTTTTTAAAAATATTTTTCAAGTTTCTATTAAAAACGTATAATTTTTTAAAATTAGAAAAAAGCCATTAACTATACGATGCCATGTAATTATAATGAAATGTTTATAGAGGCAATTTTGAAGTTGTGGAATTATGTGTTTTTCTTCCTCTTCCTATTTTTATGGATTTTCCAGAAAGAACTTGTATTATTTATAGCCTCTAAAAAAGCAAACAAAAAGAAGACAACTGCATTCCTCATGCTATCCATACCAAAGAGGAGGAGGTCAAAGATTACAAAAGCTACTCTTTTACTGAAGGAAGTAAAAACTGCTCATGATAGTTTATTGATTTATGATTAAAATCCAGTTGCAAATGGATTTTATAAATTTGGAATGAGTTGATCAAAACTGCTACCCTCATTACATTATTTTGGACTTGGGCTGGATATCTTGTATATTCTGCTTGAAAAAAAGAAAGTAGAATCTCAAATTAAGGGTAACAGCCTATATCAATCCAAACATTCAATTCTCCATAGTAGGTAGCACAGGAAAGACATTAAGGACTTAGAATCTAAAGTCTAAGATTTGGGATAGAGTCCTGGCTTTGTCTTTTATTAGCTTAGGTGATCTTAGACACTTGATCTCAGTTTTGTGATCTGGAAAATGAAGATAATGTCTCTACTCCACCGAGTCGTAACGATTAAATTTGAGTATATTCGTATAGAGCCTTTAGCATATCCGGTCTATAACAAACAGCAAATAAACCATAATATCTGGTCCAAAATAAACAACAAACAGTGATTAACAATAATAATATAAATAATCATCATAAGCATTTAGTGTTGTTTGAGACTAGAGAAATTCCTAATTTAGGTAAAAATATAATTTTAAATATGTTCCAAATCCCTAGTATAAATGGTAAGGCAAAGGTCAAAATCACTTGAAGTACCTTTATCTGTGAGGTTTTCTTTGTGTAAATTTGGAAAATGAGGTTAGAATTCCACCAGTGTTCTATCATTGGGCCACCAAACTGTACTGGAAACACAAATCTCTGCTGGAATTTCACCACTGTAAGGAGAACCAGACACATAAGTACATGTCATGCTACCCAACTAGAGCCATCATCGATCCATACTTTGACACCACCCGCCTCTCTTTCAAATTTAACTAAAATTTCTTTCAAAAATCTAGTCAGTGTTAACTTCACAAAAGTGTTAGGGAGATAGGAACTGAAGGAGCAAAGACAAAAGAAAACCTTAGATTCAGAGAAGGCAAGCAGTGCTATTTCGCTCTGCTTTGCATTGAGAAATGAATGACAAGCCTATGAGCTAAGATGTATTAAGAGGTACCATACATTTCACTGGGTATAAGGTAATCTGACTTAACTGTTTTCGAAAGATGAGTTGATAGGAAGTGTAACAAAAGAAGGGGGCTGGCTAGAGGTGGAACAATGAAGGTCAATGAAGAGAAGGAAGAATTAAATCAAAAATTATAATAACGCAAATGAGTTTTCTTTCTGGTTAAAGACTAGAGGACGCCTACTGTCACACTCAGACAAGGTCCCAGGTACTGATGTTAGCAGTTTTAGGTGGGGTAGAGTCTGTTTCTTGGATGAAAAGGAAGGAGTTTCTGCTATAATACCAACTGTAAACAGGATAAGGTGATGGTAATATTTGAGGCTGTTCACTGCTATGGGGCTTTAACAGGTTAAAAGAAAGGATTTTGGAACTCAAACCCTTTGATCTGAGTTAAATTCTGTTACTTACTAGTGAGCACCTCAGCCACAAATTATCACCTGTAAAATGATCTTCCAGTCCATTCACTTCTAGACCTTTAAAACAGATTTGAAGAACCCTCACAAAAGACCCAGTTACAGAAAGAATCCACTATCTTTAGTACTCATTCAAACTGATCTATTCACCTTCGCCATCTTAATTCTTGACTTTGTTTACTTCTCTTGCTACTCATGGACACATTCTGGGTCTTGCTATCTGGATCCATACACAAGAACTGTCAATAAAAGGTCTGGATGCAGAACACCCACACCTACTAGACCAGTTTACCTGTTTATCTTCTAAGGTGAAAGGAAGTAAGACAACATTACATCTCATTGGTGTGAAGAGAAGATTTGATAAAGCACTTTGGATACCACAAAATCCTTTGTATGCAAACAGAACCCTATTTCCATTTGGTGCCATGCAGGTTTCTTCTCACTATCTAGGTACGTTTTTGCCCTGTATTATGGTATTTCTCACATAATTCTCTGCTTCTTAAGCTCATGGGTTTTTTTGTTTTTGCTTTTGTTTTTGGTCGTTTTTAACCACTAAGTGAGTTAAAGCAATAATGGAAGAATTAATTCATGTAAATAAATTGCTAACAATTTTTAAGTTGGAAGGGATCCTGAAAATACCTAGTCTCGTCCATATTATTAAGAGGGGCCCACAGATGCAATGATTTTGTCTAAAAGTCACACAATTAGTGTGTGGTATAATGAGAACTACAACTCTGTCTTCCAGTTCCTGGCTTGATGCTTATTCCACACTTCCCATATGATGGGGAGAACTCAACCACTGTGACCAACATTAACAATAATGCATTCACTATAAGCGACATAGATTAAGAGCACACAATTTGGAATTTAAAAAGTTCTAGGTTCAAATTCTAGTTTTACCATAAACCAGTTGTATTATCTTAGACAAACTATTTAAGTGATTTTCATACTTCAGTTTCTTTCCTCATCTGTGTGTTTTAATTTAAGGACTAAATGATTATTATATATAACACACTGAGTTGAGTTCTTAACAGATCGTTTAGTTCCCAATAAATGTGAGCTACTATTAGTAACATACTATTTTAGAGTTCAATGCTTTTACATTCATTTTCCCATTTGACTATCTATTAATCTCTTTATGTAGTTATAAAGGACTAAGGAAGTTCTTTATTTTCTGATATGAAAACTACTAAAATATAACATTAAAGTAAAGATGCAGAACAGTGTATATGGTCCACTAATACTTGAATAAAAATGGAAGGAGGGCAAAAGAATACACATATTTCCTTTTATATGCATAAAATATCTTAGCAAGTATATAAAAGAAACTTACAACATTGTCTGCCTTCAAAAATGGGACTTTGGAACTTTGAATCACATGAATAAATTATATTTAATTTAAAAACCAAATAAACAAAACGAAGCAAAATAAAAAAATTTTAACTCCAATGTCACCAGACTGTATAGGAGAGTTAGGTCCTTTCTTTTATTTCTCAAACTACTTCCTAGAGAAGAAGCTTAATACTGATGAACTGTTCATGGATGAAACTGGAGAACCAAGGCAAAGGTATTCTCAAAATCTGTTGGAAAAGCAGCCATGATTTTGGATGGCAGGAATATAAGTGTTTATTATATTACCCTTTTACTTTTCTGTATTAGAACTATTTGAAATAAAATAGAAAAAAAAGACAACACCCAAAGCATAAACAACAAAAGAAAAAATAGTTAAAAAGGACTACATCAAAATTAAAAACTTTTGTGCTATATATGATACTATTTAGAAAGTGAAAGGACAACCCATAGAATGGGAAAAAATATCTGCAAATCATAGATCTGATAAGAGTCTTACATCCAGAATATATAAAAAACTCTTAAAATGAGCAAAGGACTTAAACAGACATTTGTCCAAAGGAGATATACAAATGGACAGCAAGCACATAAAAAGATGCTCAATATCATTAGTCATTAGGGAAATGCCTAATCAAAACTACAATGAGATACCACTTTATACCCACTAGTATGGCTAGAATAAAAATATATTGGAAAATAACAAGTGTTGGTGAGGATGTGGAGAACTGGAACCCTTAAACACTTATATGAGAATGTAAAATGGTAAAGCAGCTGTTGAAGAGAGACTGATAGTTCTTAAAATAATTAAAAGATACAATTTACTATATGACTCAGCAATTCCACTATTAGGTATATACCCCAAAGAAATGAAAACATATGTCAATACAAAAATGTGTACACAAAGGTTCATAGTAGCATTATCCATTACAGACAAAAAGTAGAAACACTCCAAATACCCATCAGTAGATGAATGAATAAATAAAATGTGGTATAGCCACGAGTAAAATATTATACAGCCATAAAAGAAACATGGATGAAACTTGAAATGTTATAAATTAAAGGAGCTAGTCATAAAAATCATATGTAGTTCAATTTTTATGAAATGCCTAGAATGGGAAAATTGATGAGACAGAAAATAGATTAGGAGTTGCTTAGTACTGGGGGCTGAAGAGGAAATTGAAGAGTGAATGCTAATAAGTATGGGATTTATTTTATGGGGAATGAAAATATTCTAAAATTAGATTGTGGTAATGATCGTATAACTGAATTTGCTAAAAAGCATTGAATTGTACACTTCAAATGTGTGAATTGAATGGCATGTGAATTATATCTTGACAAAGTTGTTTTTAAAAAGGGAAGAGAGAAAACATGGCAGAGTGAGAGACGTCCTCAGATCTCTCCCCCTGAAACAACAATAAGCTGAACATCTAAAACTCAACAAAAAACACCCAAACTGCACACCAGCATGTTTGAGTGTGGGATCTGCATGTAAGAGATACCAAAGGTCAGAACCCCGGGTAACAGGCGGTGGACTGGGAGAAATAAAGAAGCTACCTCTCGCAGCCACCGGAGCTTCTTGCAGGAGGAAGGGGAGGGGTGAAGGTGCAGCGACTTCCCTAATCAGCCTGCCTGGAAGTGCTGGAACTTCTTTCTAGCAGTCGGCAGCAGGGCCCAGTCATCAGGGCAGAAAGTAGAGAAGCGGTACAGGACCACAGAGAAACAACAGTTGATTTTTACCCACCCCAGATGCAAAACCGAGGCTAAGCCATAGCTCCCAACCCCCAACCCACAACCCAGAGGGCCCCGCCCCCCATACCCTCCAAGACCGATCACCGCGGAGCCCCAGGGCAATCTGAGTAAACGCTATCGAAACTGTTGCTAACACTGACAGGGACTGAAACTGAGAGTAGCAAGTGTGACTAAATATCTACAAGAAAATAAAAAAGACATTTAGGCTTTATATAAAGCAGGGATCCAAGAGGCTTAGATGCCATATACTGGAAACCAAAAGAAAAGCACCTTCTTTGCAGCAGGCTAAAGAGAGACCTTCATATAATAAATCTTCTTTCATTAATTTCCATTAATGCCCAGGCAGAGAAATAGTCCATTAAACACCATGAACAACCAAGGTGACAAGGCATCTCAGAAAGAAAGAGAAAAATCTCCAGAAACTAAGCTTACAGACATAGAAACATGCGACTTAAATGACAGAATTCAGAATGGTACTTCTGAAAAAACTCAGTGAGATCTGAAACAACTCAAATCAACAATTTAAGGAATTCAAAAAACAACTAGATGAGCAGAGCAAGGAGACTGAAACCCTCAAAAGGAACCAAATAGAACTTCTGGAGATGAAGAACAACTGCAAGAGTTGAAAAATGAAATAGCAAGCTTGGGAAATAGAGTTGACCAAATGGAGGAAAAGGTCAGTGATATCAGAGACGGAAATCTAGAAATAAATCAGAAGGAAGAAGAGAGAAACGGAAGAATGAAAAATAATGAAAGAGAAATACAAAAAGTAGCTGACACCATCAGGAGAGGAAACATAAGAATAATGGGCATTACCGAAGATGAGGAAAAGGAGCAGGGACTAGAAAGCATTTTCAGACAAATAGTGGGTGAGAATTTCCCAAATCTAAGGAATGAGCTGAATTCAAGAAGTCAAAAGAACACCTAATTATCTAAAAAGGGAAAAGAAAAATGGCAATAGTTGAAAGAACATGATCTAAGCATCAAGAGTTGTGAGTTATGCTCTCAGCTATGTTACTGACTTATTGCCTCGCATCAAGACAGTCGTAGCAACTCTGGACTCGTTTTCTCACTTATAAAATAAAGGAATTTGAAAAGATTCACTTCAAAATTCTTTCTGCCTCTAAGATTCTATGATACTATAAGAGTCAGATGAGTAATTAGGGATTCAAAAATTCTTTCAAAGCCAAAGTATCTGAGGAGCAGAAAACCAGTCTCTCTCTTACCTCCATCTATAATTTTACTGGAGGCGAGTCGAACGACCTCAGTTATCAAAGCTGTCTTTTCCAATCCACTTTTGGAAAACCCCACCGGAAAGTGATATTCCACAAAGAAGGTGCTAAAAAATTCAAAACAAAAAAAGTGATTAAAAAAACAAAAACAAAAAATCAATCTCTTTTTCTTTCTGATAAATACTACATATCTTTCAACATCCTATTTTCAGGACCTCAGGTCCTCAGAGGAACTACTTTCTCTCTTCAAAGCCTTTACCAATTGTGCCAGGCAGAATTAAAGGGTCCCTTTCTTCCTTGTGCTCCCACAGCATTTTTAATATAAAACTTCTATTTTGGACCCTATTATAGATGGCTATTTAAATGTTTCTCTCTCCTACTGACTGCAAGGTGTGTGAAAACAGACTTTAGGTCTTAACTTTCATTATTCTCTCACATACCTAGCCTAGAGCTTGGGACCTAGTTGGGGAATCATACATTTTTATTGATCAAATGATGCATATGAAAGCACTTTACAAACCCTAAAGTGTTACACAATTATCTATTTATTATCATTATCAGACACTTTCCATTAATGTCAATTTCCCATGTTAGAGACATACCGCTTTTTTGTTGTTGTCACCTTAGGTGGTCTTCTAGGAAAGCTTTTTTTGCCAGGGGTTATCTGAGGACTATCTGGAGGAACTCCCATTGTTTCGATGATGATTCTGACTGAATGTGTTCTACCCAGAAGGGCCAGTCTGTCTACACTCAGTGTCATCACTTGGGCATCTTCTGGAGTTTTTGAGACCATCTGTTGTTCAACCAAATTTCTGAAAAGAATTCATGCAGACAGTAAGGCAGACAGTCTTAGAGGCCCAAAATGAAATAATATAGTTTGCACAGGCAAGAGGCAAAAAGAGGAAAGGCAACAAGCATCTTAGTTATCAAGGATTGGAAAACAGCTTTAATCAGAATTCTGGTCCTGATCTACAGTGTAAGAAATCTCAAAAAATGTCAAAACATTCTTGTAATCTAAAGGCTTATCTCCACATAAGTATTGAAACTAATGTTATGGAATTAGTTTTCCTACAAGGGATACAGACCTTACTGCAGTTGCCCACTACTTTAATGTAATTGCTATCACTACTTTTCTGTATTCCTTTTCATTTGCTTTCCTTATGTATATTTTCTACATAAGCATAATACAGCATGCATACAACCTAGAATTCTGCTTTCTCCCTGAACCATTTCATCATATCTATCTTTTCATGTTATTATATTTTTAAGGACTGAAATACTTAATGAGTTGCAGTAACTCAATCAGTCTGGTTGTGTTGGGTAAAGAAAGGTCATTTCACTTTAGATTTTGTGAAAACAATCTTCATTTCTTTTTCCTTCTAAATAACATTCACAGAGAGGCTCACCTATTTTTCTTGCCCGCTGCCCTCTTCTTCAACTTATGATCATTTGACTCCAGAACCTTAGAAGATCTGGCAAGAGCTTTCGACTGGCTCATTTTTTTAGGAGGGACAATATCATCATCTTCAGTGAAGAAATCACTAATGCTGGTATCAGATTTCTATGTGGGGGGTGGGGAGGAAACAAAAAGAGAAGCACTAACAGATAACTGCTTTGGGGATAGTGGTAATAAAAACATTTCTCTGAAAGTAATAAAATTCTTCTCTGCATATACATCATTCTCTTAAAGAGATAACTAATGTTTATCCTAGTTATACAAAAACACCAAAAATAGCTGACCCTTGAACAACATGGTAGTGGCATGGATCACTCCCCTCCACATACGGTTGAAAATGCACCTATAACTTTTGATTCCCCAAAAACTTAACTACAGTCAGCCCTCTATATCCGCAGATTCAACCAATTGCACATCAAAACCAGTATTTATGGATATGCGATTGGGAATCCACAGTTAGGAATGCAAAAATACTGTTTTCAATCCACAGTTGTTGAATCCACAGATGTGAAAACCTGCAGATATGAAGGGCTGAGTTTATTGAAAAAAATCCATGTATAAGTGGATCTGTACAGTTCAAAATGGTGTTTAAAGGTCAACTGTCATCTGAAGTTTATGAAAATAACCTACAAGTTCAGTTCAAAGAAAATAAATGAAAATAGATTCTTCTTTCAAATTCTCAATAATAATAACCACTATCTATTGACTGCTTACTATGTATCTGGTACTATGCTAAATGTAGCAATGTGTATTTCTAACATAACATTTCTATGTGTCCTTATCTCAATTTCTACCAGTAAAAAATGAAAGCTGAGAGAAGTTAAGCAGCTTTTTTATGATTCTAGCTCTATTAAGGAAAGGCAGATTTTGATCTCCATAGGTTCCCAAGCCTGTATTTCTACCACAGTTTGAGGCAAAATGTCTGGGAAAATGTCAGCCAACTATATGAAGACACAAACTATTTTTTTTTTCACTACTTCATACTACTAATAATTCATTCTCATTTAAATTTTGCTAAGATGAACTGTTTATCGTAAGTCACAAATTTCTTCATTGGAGGAACTAGTGGTCAAGCCCCTTGTAATTAATTTGAGAAAAGGCAGCTACCATAATTAACTGATCAGAGCTTTCTACTACAAAATGCAAAATAGAGAAAACAGTGTTATAATTATTTGACTACAGTTATATAGTCAAAAACCTTGCTAATATAAATGTAGGAGGCCAAACCAAAATCATTTTAAGTTTATCACCTCCAACTCCCCTTTCTCCAGCATCTCAGGGTGTATAATGTGTTAATCCATGATAAGAGCAACAAATTAATAGTTAAATAAGCATGACCAGAATATCCTTCTAGGAAGCAATACAACTTTTTCAAGGTGAGATTACAAAGATTTTTGTTCTTAGGTTTGTTTTTTGTTTTTGTTATTTTTTAAATTAAGTGGCAGCTTTTAAAAATGCTGATAACACAATCAAAATCTAGATGGGTCCACAGCCTGAAGGAAATTACAATAAACATCAAGTAGGTTGTTCAAAAGAATTTCAGGAACCAAAAATGCAAGACAATAATTCTGAATTTCTAAGCTGTGGATGTTATTCAATATTAAGAACATCAAACACTGACCCTGGGGAAAGGCGTGAGCATTCTAACTCCTTGGTCTTCCCGCTGTCTCGTGATCAATTTTTCACTCCTCCCTCCCAGTCAACAAATATTTTCTAAAATTACTTTGTTTAAATAGCATGGGGGATTACTTTGAATCATTCATACATTTATTCATTTATTCACTAAATATTCACTGGATACTCAATATCTATCAGGTCTTTGTTGTACTGGTGATAAAAAGCTAATGAAGACATGTCCGTGTTCATGAGGAACTGTTATCATATGTGATTAAGGGCTATAACAGAAGTATGTGCAAGATATTTGGATATTCAGGCAACAAATTCTGCTTGGAGGAGTCTGGGATGGTTTCTTCATAGAGGCGTTGAGTTGATTTTTAAAGAATGAAGAGATGCCTATCACACATACAAGGGCATTTCAACATTCAAAATAGAAAGATCAGTATGAGAAAAATATATGAAGATAGAAAAAGCTAAGATGTTTGAGGAGAGGTGCGACAATCATTATGACAGGAGTCTTGAGTGGGTATAGAGCAAAAGTGGAAGACTAGGTGAAGGAGGTAAGTCAAGATCTGATTCTAATGCCATGCTCAAGCTGATGAGATGGTGTGGTCTAAGGAGAAAAACAGGCTTTTTGCCAGACAGACTAGGGCAAGAATTCTAGTTCTGCAAGTTAATTACTTTTATTTCACGAGATGTAAAAATAACGCTAGCTAATGGAGCTCGAAAAAGAATTAAACAATAAATTTAAAACGTTTGGTACAGTACTCAATAAATAACAGATAACATATATTCCCTGGCACACAGAAAATGTGTAATAAATCTAAGTTCCCTTTCCAATATGTTACAGGTAACACAGTATCAGTGATGATTTTTAAGGTAAGAAGTCATGAAATCCTAACAATTCATAACGTCTTTTAAATCTATCTCCTCCTTTCTAATCTCACCACTACCACTGTCATTCAGGTTCTCCCTCCCTCTCACACCTCCAGTAACCCAATGGCTTCCTATCTGCTTCTGGTTATTCTCCTGCTTGGCCCCCTACATCACTGCTGGGTTAACATTCCTAAAACATCATTTTGATCATGTCATTTCCTCCTCACCTGACATTCACAGGCTTTCACAGACTGTGCTAGCCTGCCTTATTGACAAGTTGTTTTTGACATGAATTCTCACCCAGTCATATTAGATACCTTGCAGTGCACAAATTGCTTCTCTAGATAGGTCATTCTTTCTATTCCCATTTCATATTCTTTCTCTATCTCTCTAAACACCATCTTTCAAGTCTCAGTTAAAACCTCTTATTCCTCATGATGCTCTTTCCAGACTATCTCATGTAAATGTTCTCCTTACTTCCTCTGAACCCTAGTAGCTCTTGCTGTCTTACCACTAAGCTGGTATAAACTACCTTGCATCTCAGTTCTCTTTTCTGACCTGGAGAAAAGGAAAATCAGGAGTATGACACCAATGTTCACAAATATAAATGATTATTGTGGAACAAGGATTGAACTTATATACAGATGCTAAATCAATGAACAGAACATAAAGCTTGATATAAGAACTTTGAATATGCTAGAACTGTCTAAAAAGAGAATGCCTTGTCTTTAAGGTCTGTAGAGGTATTGTCAACTGTGAGTAGAGGTGTTCCTGGAAAATTTTGAAAAGACACCAGTCAAGGGTAGTAGTTCTAAGGGTATACTTGTATTAGCTCTTCCTTAGAAGAGCCCTAAGGAAGCCATATAATATATTAAGACCATAAGCTTTGGACTCAGGTAAACTTGAATTTGAATCCTGGCTTTAACATTTACTATGTGTCCTTGGAAAAAATACTTACTCTTACTAGGCTTGTCTCCTCATCTGTAAAATAGGGATAATACTTTTCTCTTTAGGTTGTCATTATAATTAAATAAGGTATGTCAAATGGACAGCTTTCTATCTGGAAGTGGTAACATGCTGTCACCTACTAATATTATTAATACTCGCGTTCTCTAATTCCCAAAGCTTCAGATTCAATGACTTACAGGTGCTGTGTAAAATAAGTTCTCCAGGAGACTCTGGTCATACTGAGGGTCATTAGGCTCACTGCTGCAATACACATCACTCCCAGGAGATGGAGAATCTGGAGGAGAGCCTAGCCCATCCCAGTAATTACCTTGGGATAATTCAGCACTGCAGAGGTAAGAAAAACAAAGCAGAAAAACTTTAAAAGAAGTTTCGGCTGAGTGTTTTTTTTTTTTTTTTTTAGGGAAAACTTTCTAAAGTTCTAAATATGGAAGATATGTTAAACAGAAGACTCACATAAACAGAAGACTATGTGATAAATATTTTCATATTATATTCTCCCTCCTCTGGGATGCCAACAGGTAGTATTCAAAAAATACATTACTGACACTGATTATGATCTCATTCATTTATTTAACAAACATTTTACTGGGTACCTATTATGTGCCAGGCATGGTATAAGGTCCTGAATGTTAAAAAGATAGCTAAGCAAACTTGCTTTATCCTTGTGTTGCTTATAATCTAGCAGGGAGGAAAAGGAAAGAACTAACTATAATTCAGTGAGTTAAATGTTATATGTTGTTTTTGTGGAGAATGGTTAATTCATAAATGCACCTCTTCCATTAAGCAAAAATATGTGTATTTAGGGTTAATTATGGCAAGATTAGTTCTATATGGGATACAGAAGTGAGTAAAACAGATACCCTACTGTTTATAAACTAATAAGGAAGATAAGCATACAAGTATGTGTATATTTCACTCGTTTTTGCTTCTCCTATAGTACCTAGCACTTAATGAACACTTATTAATAAATTTATCAAATTCTTAATAAACACATTTTAATAAAATACTTACTAAATATTTAATATGTGTTAGGCACTGCGCTAAGCATTGCAATTATTCTTTCAACTTTGCTTTCCTTTCGAGCTAGTTGCTATACTTTCCCCCCTTCTTCAATTTCTCAAGAAAATAGTACACAAGAACTATCTTCAAATTAGATCACATTCCTATATTTTTTGGAACGACAGATACTCAGTAAATGTTCCTTTCCTTAATTTATAGCAGGGTTTCTCAATCTTAGCACTACTGATATCCTGGGTCAGATAATTCTTTGTCTTCGGGAGCCATCCTGTGTATTTTGGATCCCTGAACTCTACTCACCAGATGCCAGTAACACTCCTCCACTTCTAGCAACTTAAAATGTCTCTAGACACTACCACATGTCTCATGCTGTGGGGGGTAGGGGAGAACTGCCCCCTAGTTGAGAACCACTGCTCTATAGTAAAATCTCTCTAAGGTTAGAAAGACTTTCTAACTGCCAAAACCCAGCTAGCAACTTCCCATCCACATGGTTTCGCTGCAGCTTCTGAGCATTGCATCTTTTTGAAGTTCTATTTCTTGGTATTCTATACAACTCTCATCTGCCACTTATGGCTCTCCCTGTACTCAGCTGCCTGCTGTCCCCCCTTACCTTGCACACCCTTAAAGTTACTAAGATCTCCACTGTTCAGTATATATAGTTCTCTATTTTTTAACTTATTTTTCTCCAAATTAACATGTCTTTGAATTTATTCTATTGTCTATGACGCATTAAAAGGGCGTGCCATTTCCCTCCATATAATATTTGGGACATACTTATACCAGAAACTGGGAGAGGTAAGAGCTATTCTGAACAGGCTAGAGGTGTGGGGTTCCCGTGCAGCTTGGAGGACAGAAGATATGAGAGTGCAAAAAAAGGGGTTGGTGTGGAGCTGGAATTTGCTCACTCTCAGCACTTTCCTCTTCTTCTTAAACATTTTTTAATCAACGAATACATGTACCTATTTTAAAAGTAAAATAGGATTACAAGACATAATAAAAAACAGTACCTGCTTGCCTCCTTAGAGGTAATCACTTTTAACTCCCTAAGATATTTCTTCTGATATTTACCTTCATACTGCTATTTGCTGATTTTTCATTTTTCTAAATGATTTATGGACTTCCTATTATGAAAAATGAAGAATCTACTCTTACACCACTAGTCTTGGACACAGATTTCCCTTGAACTCACCTTTTCAACTTAGTTATATTACAATTTTTGTTGTCGATCTTCAAGGTTAACGTTCTATCAGAGCCAAGTATATTTTTTATGCTTTCTTATACAACTTCTAGTTTTCCTTGTTTTAATAACTGCCTTACTTTTCATCGACTTAGTTTTTTATGTACCTATTATTTTATTATTGAATTCTCCAAGAAAACTGAAAATTTCCTCTCAATTTGGTCAAACACAAGAGAAACGTGTCTCCTCTCCTTAGAAATATCCCTACTGAAGCCCTGTCCAGCTCCCGTAATGAATGTCTCTAAACATGACACTGATCCTAAACCACCTTTTCTCTTTCTTCTGTATCATATCGCCTACTTCTTGGACTCTTGCGCCTTCTTCCTATACTCTCTTTATGTCAAAAAAATCACTTTGTGCTTTCTTGAGGAATAGTGCAAGAGAGGTAAACTTTTGAGACCCTAGATGCATAAAGATATTTTTACTTTACCCTCACACTTGATTGATAGTTTGACTGCGAATGGAATTTGAGGTTGAAAATTCAGAATTTTTAGAATTCTGAAAGCATTTCTCCACTGTCTTCCTGGATCTTGTGGAACAGTCTTGTTTATGTTTGTTTCCAGCTTTATTGAGATATATATAATTGACAAAATGATAAAACATTAAAAGTGTACAATGTGATAATTTGATATACATATACACTGTGAAAAGATTCTCCCCACTGAATTTATTAAAACATCCATCACCTCACTCACATATATATATATATTTTTTTTTGGTGAGAAATTTAAGCTCTACTCTCTTAGCATATATCAATTATACAATACAGTGTTATCAACTAGTCACCGTGCTATACATTAGATCCTCAGACTTTATTCACCTTATAACTGAAAGTTTATCAAGTTCTCCCTATTTTCTCACTCCTCTAAACCATTTTTCTACTGTTTCTATGAATTTGACTTTTTAAAAAAATTCCTTTATTTTTAATTTCTTTATTGTTAATTCCAGCATGTTCCTCTTTTCCTTCTAAAACATTTTAAAATTAAAGAATACATGTACCTATTTTAAAAGTAAAACAGGATTACAAGACATATCTAAGTGATACTATGCAGTATTTGTCTTTCTCTGTCTGGCTTATATCACTTAGCATAATGCCCTCCATGTTCATCCATGTTGTCACAAATGACAAAATTTCCTTCTTTTTAAAAACCGAATAATATTCTATTATACACATACATATACACACCCCGTTTTCTTGATCTATTTACTCAATGACAACCACTTAGGTTTCCACACCTTGGCTATTGTGAATAATGTTGCAATGAACATAAGAATACAGATATCGCTTCGAGATTTAATTTCCTTTGGATATATACCAAGAAGTAGGATTGCTGGATCACAAGGTAGTTCTATTTTTAACTACTTGAGGAACCTCCATTCTTTTTTCCATATAGTGGCTGTGCCAGTTTATATTCCCACCAATACTCTCATTTCTCCAAATTCTCACCAACATTTCTCTTGTTTTTTTGATAACAGATATTCAAACAGGTGTGAAGTGATACCTCACTGTAGTTTTGATTTGTGTTTCCCTGATGACTAGTGATGTTGAGTACCTTTTCATGTACCTGCTGGCCACTTGTATGTCTTCTTTGGAGAAATGTCTATTTAAGTCCTTTGCCCATTTTTAAATTGAGCTATTTTCTTTGCTATTGAGTTGCATGAGTTCCTTGTATATTTTGGATAATAACCTCATATGAGATATATGGTTTCAAATATTTTCTATCATTCAAAAACCTGCCTTTGCATTTTGCTGATGGTTTTCTTTACTGTGCAGAAACTAAAGTTTCATGTAGTTCCACCTATTTAATTTTTGCTTTATTGCCTTTGCTTTTGGTGTTAAATCCAAAAAATTATTAAGACCAATGTTGAAGAGATTAAACCCTATGTTTTCTTCTAGGAGTTTTATGGTTTCAGGTCAAATGTTTGAGTCTTTAATCCATTTTGAGTTGATTTTTGTATACAATGTAAGACAGTGGTCCAGTTTCATTCTTTTGCATGTGGCTATCCAGTTTTCCCAACAACATTTATCAAAGAGACCATTCTTTCTTCATTGAGTATTCTTGGTTCCTTTGTCAAAAACTAATTGGCCATATATGCATGGGTTTATTTCTGGGCTCTCAATTCTGTTCCATTACTCTATGTGCCTGTTTTTATACCAATACCATAATGTTTTTATACCAATACTATTAGCTTTATAATATAGTTTGAAACTAGGTAGTGTGATGTTTCCAGCTTTGTTCTTTCTCAAGACTTTTTTAGCTATCCAGGGTCATTTGTGGTTCCATACAAATTTTAGGGTTGTTTTTTCTATTTCTGCAAAAGATGCAATTGCAATTTTGATAGTGATTGTATTGAAACTAAAGATCACTTTGGGTAGTGTGGACATTTTAACAATATTAATTCTTCCAATCCATAAACACGGAATATCTTTCCATTTATTTGTGTCCTTTTCAATTTCTTTCATCAGTGTCTTAAAGTTTTCAGTGTACAGATTTTTTACTTTATTAAACTTATACCTAAGTATTTTATTCTTTTTGATGATATTACAAATGAATTGTTTTCTTAATTTCTCTTTTTGATAGTTTGTTGTTAGTGTATAGAAACACAACTGATTTTTGTTTATTGATTTTGCATCATGCAACTTTACTTAACTTGATAATTAGTTCTAATAGTTTCATTGGTGGCAACTTTAGGGTTTTCTGTATATATCATGTCATCTGCAAATAGTGACAATTTTACTTTTTCCTTTCCAATTTAAACGCCTTTTATTTCTTTTTCTTGCCTAATTGCTCTGGCTAGGACTTCCAGTACAATGCTGGAGAAAAGTGATGTGAGTGGAAATCTGTATGTTCCTGATCCTAGAGAATGAGCTTTTGGAATTTCATCATTGAGTATGTTAGCTGTGGCTTGTCATATATGGCCTTTGTTGAGATACATTCCCTCTATATCCAGTTTGTGAGAGGTTTTATCATGAATAGGTGTTGAATTTTATCGAATGCTTTTTCAGCATCTATTGAGATGATATGATTTTTATCCTTCATTTTGTTAATATGGTGTATTACATTTATTGATTTGTGGATGTTGACTCATACTTGCATCCCTGGAATAAATTCTACTTTATCACAATGTATAATGCTTTTAATGTATTATTGATTTTGATTTGCTAATATTCTGTTTAGGATTTTTAGATGTATGTTCTTCAGGGATATTGGCCTGTCATTTTTGTTACATTGTCCTTGTCTGGCTTTGGTATCACACATCATGGTGAGTGCTTACATGTCTGTTAAGAATTACTTCTTTATTTGCTATACTCTTGTGAGTCTTACGTATACAAACTACATCAGCTTTCGGAACTAGGTGTTTTGGGAGCCCTTCTCTCTCTGGTGGTAGTCTTAAGTTAGAGCACTAGATGTGAGGTCCAAATCCTTTGTTCAAAAAGCTAAGAGTTGGGGGTTCTCTCCTGACTGTATGATGCTGTCATGGAGTGGGGTTTATGGCGAGAGTGTCTTAGCTTTTCCTACCCATTTCAATGGTATTTTCTCATTTGTCTAATTGTAGAAGTTGTTCATTTACTTTCTGGATCTCTTTCAAAGGAATTACTCTGTGTGCTGAGAAACCTCTTATGTCACCATGTTGGTCAACTCTCTGGAATATCTGACATCATTCCAATTTCTGATACTGTATACATGACCTTTTTTCTTTTCTTCCTTTCTGGAAGGTTTTAAGGTTGTCTCTTTATATCCAGTATTTTGAAAATTCATGATCATGTATCTTGGGATGTCTTTTTTCATTTAATGTGCTAGATTCTTGATCTTATGTTTTCTTAACCAGCTTTATTTAGATATACTTATATTACATTACATATAATTCATGCATTTAAAGTGAGCAATTCATTTTTAGTATATTTACAAATACAAACAAGCATCACCAGTCAATTTAGAACATTTTCATCAACTCAAAAAGAAACTCCATATCCTATGGCTATTCATTACTTATCCCTATCACACCCAGCCCTAAGGAACCACTAATCTACTTTCTATCTCTATAGGTTTGCCTATTTTGTACATTTTGTATAAATAGACTAATAAAATATGTATTCTTTTGTGACAGGCTTCTTTCATTTAGCATGATGTTTTCACGGTTCATCCATACTGCAGCATGTTATCAGTATTTTACTTCTTTTAATGGCTAAATAATACTCCATTGTATGAATATACCACGTTTTAAAAAAATCCATTCATCAGCTGATTTTTTGACTATTATGAATAATGTTGCTATGGAAATTCATGCACATGTTTTTGCATGGCCTTATGTTTTCATTTACCTTGGGTTTATTCCTAGGAGCTGAATTGCTGGGTTATATGGTAACGTTATGTACAGTTTGAGGAACTGACAGATTATCTTACAAAGTGGCTGTACCATTTTATACTGCTGCCAGCAGTGTATGAAGGTTCCAAATTCTCCATATCCTCACCAACATTTACTATCTGACTTTTGGTTCTAGCCATCTTAGTGTGTATAAAGTAGTATTTCATTGTGGTTTTGATTCGCATTTCCCCGATAACTAATGGTGTTATGGTAAAAGACATCTCTTTGTGTGCATATTAGCAATTTGACTATCTTCTTTGGAGAAATATCTATTTAGATCTTTTGCCCATAATTTTAATTGGATTATCTGTCCTTTAATTATTAAGCTGTCTGAGTTCTTTATATACTCTAAGATATAAGTCCTTTATCAGATATAAGACTTAGAAATATTTTCTCCCATTCTGTGGTCATCTTTTTACCTTCTAATACTATCCTTTGAAGTACAAACATTTTATATTGATTAAGTCTAGACAATATATTTTTTGTTGTTGCTTGTGCTTTTGGTGTCAAATCTAAGAATCCTTTCCCAAATCCAAGGTCATGAAGATTTACCTCTGTTTTCTTCAAAGAATTTTATAGTTTTACCTCTTCTATTCAGCTACTTGATCCATTTTGAGTTAATTTTGTACATGGTATGAGGTAAGGATCCAACTTCATTTTTTTACATGTGGCTAGCCAGCTGCCCCAGCACTATTTGCTGAAAAGACTATTCACTGAATGGTCTTGCTACCCTTGTTGAATATCAGCTGACCATAGACATATGATTTATTTTTAGACTATTCCATTGATTCATATGTCTGTTATGCCAGTACCAAACAGATTTGATTATTGTTGCTTTATACTAAGTTTAAAAATAGGGAAGTGTAAATTCTCCTATTTTTTTTCTTTTTCAGATTGTTTTGGCTATTCAGGTCCCTTGTAATTTCACAGAAATTTTACAATCGGCTTGTCAATTTCTACAGAGATGACAGCTATGATTCCAATAGGGATTGCAATGAATCATGGGATCAATTTTTAGATCTTCTTTCATTTATTTCAACATTTTAGTTTTCAGAGTTTATGTTTTGCACTTTTGTTAAATTTATTCCTAAGAATTTTATTCTTATCAATGCTACTGTAAATAAACTGTTTCTTAATTTCATTTTGTGATTATTCACTGCAAGTATATAAAAATACAACTGATTTTTGTATTTTAATCTTCTATCCTGCAATCTTCCTGAATTTGTTTATTACTTCTAATTATTTTTTTAATGGATTCTTTAGGATTTTCTACATACCAGATCATATAATTTGTGAACAGAGATAGTTTTACTACTTCCTTTCCAATTTGAAACCCTTTTATTTATTTTTTCCTGCCTAATTGCAAAAGCCACATAGGTAATAAGACACAGACCCCCAAATTTCAAATTGTGTCTGCGTAAACTCCATGCTCTTTTCATTATACCCTGCTAATATTAGTGGTGGAGACAGAGTCGGGAGATAAGAATGAAAAGGTGTAATGGAGACTATTCTATAAATGAGGCTAAGCAAAAAAGGCTGTTGATTGGATTTTTATTTAGTGGGTAACAAATAATGATTTTTATTTAGTACGCAATGAGTAAGCAAGAGAATGACTTGGTTTTTCTAAGGAAGTGTTATTTTATGAAGATAAATCTCTTAACAATGTACATAATGAATCAAAGGAAGAATTTAAAAGAAAGAGAGCTAGCTGAGAGCTCTTACCTGCCCAATAGCAGCTGTATGGCTCTGGTATCAGCTTTTGTGTCATGTTTCCAAAATGTATTCTCATTCGGAGGGAGGTGATCTTCAATGGGGTCTTTCAATTGATTCTTAGACAAGGCTTTGATTCTAAGGTATGGAAAAACACTTTCTGAGTAGCTAACGTATGGAAAAAGTCTAAATCAGAATTAACTGAGCTAAGAGATAGTTCAACAGAAAAATCTAACATACTTTAAACATATTACCTTAAATATACATAAAACTTCACAATTTACAAAGCCCTTTCCCGCATTAGAATCTCATTTCATTTCTGTAAGAGAGGGAGGAGAGAATATCCCCATTTTATATACAAGCATGCTGGTTCAGAGGGAGCAAAGAATTTAGCCATTTATATATTTAGTAAGTGCTAGTACTAGGTCTAGATTTTGAGTATCTTAACTCCTAGTTTAGGCTTTTTCCCCACCACATTAAGAATTATTTGATGAACATTTCCAAAATTATTTAGGCCATAACTTGACAAAAACATACATTAACAACTATTAAAAAATAAATTGTTGGGTTCATGTTTATCCCATAACTTACTGTGTTGATGTTTTAAGAAAATCTTCCTTCATAGGAGGATGAACTTCATCCAACAACAACATGCTAGTATCTGGGCTTGATTTCATTGCAGAAACTGCCATGGCATTACGTAGTTTATTGCCTTGTTCCAACAGGGCTGAGGAGGGTAAAAGTAGAATGGGGAAAATCTAAAACTCAACAGAAATACTTGCAATATTTGGCACCTTTACTTCTATCACAGGAGTTACCACAGTGTATTGTAATGGCTTACTTGTCTACCATCTCCATTAGCTTGAGAATTCTTTGAGGGCATTCATTTTACAACAAATATTTACTGAGCATCTATTATGTGAACTGTTTTAGATGCTAGTATTACAGCAGTGAATGAAGTCTTTATTCCAAAGAGACTGACCTCTTCATAGGAGTCATTATATGCATGCATGGATTCTTACAACTGGTGTTTGTACATAATAAGGTTAGTAATGTATATATATTATTTTTGTATCTAGATACCTTATAGACTTCTCTTATTATTTGCAACAGTTTCAGTGTCATTATTATCCAACAACTATACTAGCTAAAATTTTAGGAGCCATCGTGATAATCTATTCCAAATTTATACGTTCATTGATGAAGAAAAGAATGCCAAAAAAATTCCATGACTTGTCGAAGATCATACAATAGGTTAACAGAAAAGTCAGGATGATGTCCTCAGACTTTCTGATAGGTAAAACTGACCCTATCCCTAAGTAACAAGAACAATAAATTTAGCAGATAACTTTTTTTGAACCCTTACCATGTGCAGGGCACTACTCTAAGTGTATTATATATATTAACTCATTTAATCCTCACAATAATCCTGATAGGTATTACTATTTCGTTTTCTAGATTGAAAAAAAAATTGAGGCATAGAGGATAAGTAATCTGTCCAAGTTATATATGAGGATGACTCCACATTCTATGATTTTAACCACTATACTATATATGACCCCACTTTAGTTCTTAGCTTAGGACTAGTATCACTATTCCAAGGAATGCTAGGAAGTATTACTTTCTTGAGATTTTATAGTTGCTTAGAAGGTAAGTGAGAATAGACATCAAGTGCCCGTCTCTTAGTCTAGAGTTTTTATAGCTTCTATAAAGATATGGTGGTTAGGCCAAGAAAAAAAAAAAAGGCTACACACATCCTAAACATCTAGTATTTCTTAGTATAAAGAGTTCGAAATATAGCTTGAAAACAAAACAAAAAAAAAACCAAATCCTGAAATATCATACGTTCAATGTGTAATGTAAATATACAACTAAACTATAAGAAAATAAAGATCACACACTGTGGCAGATGCAATCCTAAGATAGACCCTGCCACCCCTCTGCAAGATTCCCCAAGCCCTGGTGTACACAAACTTTCTCCCAGTGATTCAAACACTCATCTAGGCATTGCTGTGAAGAGATTTTGCAGATGCCCTTAGGGTTCCAAATCAGTCAGCCTTAAGACAGGGAGAGTAATGGTGGGCCTGAACCTTTTAAAAACAAGGTTTTCTTTGGCTGTCTGAAAGATATGAAGTCATAGGTTTCAAGCATGTGAAAGATTTAATGTGTCATTGCTGTCTTGAAGATGGAGGGAGTCACGTGGCAAAAAATGCAGGCAACTTCTAGGAGCAGACAGTGGCCCGTGGCTGACAGCCAGCAAGGAAATGGGACCTCAGTTATACAACTGCAAGGAACAGAATTGTCGACAAGAATGACCTTGGAAGTGACTTTTTCCCCAGGGCTTCCAGGTGAGAATTTAGCTTGGTTGCCACCTTTATTTCACCCTGTGATACCCCAGGCAGAGAACCCAACCATACCTTGCTGGACTTCTGATCCATAGAACTGTGAACTAATAAATGGGTGTTGTTTTAAGTCATTAAGTTTGTGGTAATATGTTATACAGCAATAGGAAACTAATATACCCAATAATGCCACACCCAAGAATACTGATTGTTAACATTTCGATATATTCCTTTTATGGGCATACTCATTTTATTGTACTTTGCTTTAGTGCATTTTACAGATATTGCATTTTTTTTTTTTTTTTTTTTTTACAAATTGAAGGTCTGTAGCAACTCCATGTTGAGCAAGTCTGTCATGCCCCTTTTCCAACAGCATTTGCTCACTTTGTGTTTCTGTGTCACATTTTAGTAAATCTCACAATATTTCAAACTTTTTCATTACTATTATTTTGCCATAGTGATCTGTGATCAGTGATTTTTAATGGTAATATTGTAATTGTTTTAGGGTACCACAAACCACACTCATATAAGACAGTGAACTTAATAAATGTGTGTGTTCTGATTGTTCCACTGACTGGCTGTTCTCTCCTTCTCCTCAAGCCTACCTATTCCCTGAGACACAATAATATTGAAATTAGGCCAATTAGTACTCCTTTAATGGCATCTGAAGTGTTCAAGTGAAAGGAAGGATTAATCAATGCAGCAAACTTCATTGCCTTATTTTATGAAATTGCTGCAACCACCTCAACCTTCAGCAACCACCACCCTGATCAGTCAGCAGCCATCAACACTGAAGCAAGACCCTCCATCAGCAAAGGATTACAATTCGCTGAAGGCTTAGATGGTGGTTAGCAGTTTTTAGCAATAAAGTATTTTTTAATTAAGGTATATACATTATTTTTTGATATAATGCTATTGTGATACATGTAACAGGTGTATGTAAGCAGAGATTATTAAAAAAAAAAACCCACAGGAATACTTATTTTGTGCTCTCAAAGTTCCAGGTATTTAATTCCATCAAAGAATTTATCATGCAGTGTTATAATTGTCTATCTTACCCCATCAACTTCTAGGCTGGGGAATGGCTCTTGTTGGTCTTTGTATCCTTAGTCCCTGGTACAGTGCCCGATATATAACAGGCATTTGATAAAAATGTTTTAATAAATACTTCCACTTTATCACACATAGGGTACTGTGTCTGCTTTAGAATCTGTTTCCTTTACTACACTGAATTCCTTAAGGTCAGGGTCTGTATCTTCTTATAATTCTAACCCCAATACTCAAAACAATGACTGACACAAAATAGGCACTCAAAAGATACTTTCCAAAAGCAGGTTTTAAGAAAGAAATAAACATTAAGGAGAATAAGTTAGACAAATCTGAGCGCAGGTGGTCCAAACATTGGCTTCCAAGTGATTTCATTATTGAAACAGCCATTCTTGGCAAAGCTTCTTTAAAGTCTAAGTCATGGTAAGAAAAACATCTCATCTCCCCATCTCTAGAGGAAGCTAGTACCTACACTGTAAGAGCTGACATGGCATCTTCCTGCTCCTCAACTCAATAATCATTTCCTGGACACAAAGGAAGGGTACTCAAGTGAGTTCAGGTCAAATGTTCCCCTTGTTAACTTCCTACATGTTGTGAGAACAGCTCCTGCTAAACATAGGGAGGTATAAAGCTTCTGGTTTTTTGTTCTAGCTCCTAGCTATCTATTCTAAACGCCAAACTCTTGGAAACAGGATGTATAGTTAGTTTTTCATAAATGCTAGCTGGATGACTAATTCAGCTCTGTATCCCCTTTTTCTTGGTATGATGTTAGTAAAATAAAGGACCAGGAAGATAATTATGTTTATGCATTTGTTATATCCCTCCCATGACCTCAGCTCTAAGACCTACTTACTAAAGTGGACCACTTAATGTTAGTCCTCCATAATCTTCTGGTTAGAAGAGACCTTTAAGGATCATATATGTCTACTTGATCATTTAATCTAATCTGTAACAGTCCCATCAGAAGGTTATCCAATCTGTGCTTAACTATTTCCAGTGATATAGAATTCACTGCTTCTTGAAGCTGTCCTTTCTCATTTTGCACAGGCTGGACTATTAACTCACATGGAGTCACAACGTCTAAAAAGGCACAAAGTTGCAGAATGGATCAAAAAACAAAACCAAACCATATGCTGCCTCCAGGAGACACATCTCAGTTCCAAAGACAAATATATTTATAGACTCAAAGTGTAAGGGTGGAAAATGATATTTCAAGCAAATAGCATTCAGAAAAAGCAAGAGTAGTGGTACTAATATCAAATGAAACAGACTTCAAACTAAAAATGGTAAAGAAAGATACTGAGGGACACTTCATGCACCAAGAAGACATAACACTTATTAATAGCTATGCTCCCAATCAGGGAGCCCCAAAATATGTAAAACAATTACTAACAGAACTAAAGGGAGAAACAGACCAAAACCCTATTGTAGTAGGGGACCTAAATACCCCACTATTGGATATAGACAGATTATCCGAACAGAAAATCAATAAGGAAATAACATCTTTAATATAAGAGAAATCATACCAACCATATTCCCTGATCAGAATGCTTTGAAACTAGAGATCAACTGTAGAAAGAAAGCAAGAAGAATCACAAATACATGGAATGGAGACAACATGCTACTGAAGAATATTGGGTCAGAGAAGAAATAAAAAGAGAAATCAAGAAATTCATAGAAACAAGTGATAATGATAGTACAACATATCAAAACTTTTGGGACATGGCAAAAGTGGTCATAAGAAGAAAGTTCATATCATTACAGGCCTATCTCCAAAAACAAGAACGAGCCCAAATAAACAACCTAACGCTTCATCTTAAAAAACTAGAAAAGGAAGAACAAATGAAGCCTAACGTCAGCAGAAAAAAAGAAATCATCAAAATTAGAGCAGAAATAAAAGAAATTGAAAACAAAAAAGCGATAGAAAAAATAAATTCAATAAAGAGCTGGTTCTTTGAGAAGGTTAATAAAATTGACAAACCCCTGGTAGACTCACTAAAGAAAGAAGAGAAAGGACAAAATCAGCGATGAAAGAGGGGAAATTACGATGGATACCACAGAAATACAAAGGATCATACAAGAAGACCATGAAAAAGTATATAACACCAAATTTAATAACGTAGAAGAAATGGACCAGTACTTAGAAAAATGCAATCTTCCTAGACTGAATCAAGATGATCTGGAAAATCTAAATAGACTGATCAGCAGTATGGAAATTGAAACAGTCATCAAAAACTTACCAAAAAGTAAAAGTCCAGGACCAGATGGCTTCACCCGTGAACCAAACATTCAAAGAAGATTTAATACTTATTCTCTTCACACT